CTACACACGTATCCAGATCCCACGCTTGACAGAGCTGCTAGATCTGACCGAGGATGAGACGGAGAAGAACATTAGCGAGCTGGTGTCTGCAAAGACCATCTATGCCAAGATTGACCGACCCGCCCGTATCGTCACCTTCTCGAAGCCCAGGGACGCAGACGATGTGCTGAACGAATGGAGTGGAAACATGAAGAGTTTGTTGGGTCTGCTCGAGCGCGTTGACCATCTCATTACCAAGGAGGAGATGATGGCGCGTATTCAACCCACAAAGGTGGACAAGAGCAAGGCGGCCAAGGGAAAGGCGAAATAGGATTCGCGAAGACCCTCAGGTATCGGCAATCGATGCACGAAGTTTGGGCAGCAATTGGTAATTTAACAGCCTTGCAAGGTACAGCACTCACGATGATGATGGATGAGAAGTGGCACGATAGTCTATGAATGAGTGCGTATGCAAGATGACTACGAAGCTCAAGTGTTGACCGATGCGCTGCACAGGTTTACGCTTGACAAGTCGGATTGCTGGTCTGAGCGCATGAAGGAAGAATCAGACAACCTAGGCATCTGCTGTAGGATAGTAGAACAAATGAAAGCAACCGTTAGAATAAGAATTCGTCATGAATTATGTGCGCCATATAACACTCTCGTTCGAGTGCTTTTATTGTAACCGATGGACAGCATCTGCGCGTTGCATCATCTGCCAAGCCACTTAAGTGCCGACGCGGACTAGCGCAACGCGTCCGACGCGTCCCTTCCTTCCCCGGGATTTGGCAGCGACAGCCGTTGAAAGTACTAGACTCTCAATACCTCACTTTGTGCATCCCCATACCACCGCAATCATGGTTCGTGGCGTGGAAGGCAATGAGATGTCGACACCTCGCGCTTCACAGAAGAAGCAGCCCGCCTCCGCGTCGCAATCGGCCAAGGGCCAAAAGTCCATCCTAGGGTTCTTCCAGAAGAAGTCTACCAACTCACCAAGCCCCGCGCCGTCCGATGCCACACCAGTCAACAAGACGCCTACATCGAAATTGGCGAAGAAGGCCTTCGACAAGCCGCCTGCCGCCATCACTCCCGTACCAAGCAGCGACGCTCCCGATTACTCGAGTCCCATCAAACAGGAGCATGAATTGACAGTGGGGAGGAACAAGGAGAACATACTGGCCAAGCATACAGATGCCATTCCCAGTAGCCCAACACGCAAGGTACGCGAGACGTGCCATTGCGTACCCAACTGCATTTACTGACATTCTAATTCAGGCACGAAAGCCCGTCAACTACGCCGAGTCAGATGACGACGACGAAGATGTGCTGGGTCCAATTGCAAACAATGCAAGAGGCAGAGCTACGAAACGCCAGCGGGTCACCATCGAAGACGATTCAGACGACGAGTTCGGATTAGACGCGGCCACACAGAAGGCAATGCTCGAGGAAGACGACGACGATGTTGATGACTTCGTTGTCCCAGACGATTCCGATGAGGAAGTCGTCTCGAAGAAGCGCAAACGTTCAGCAGCACCCAAGGCTCGTACTAAAACATCTCCAGCATCGTCACCGCCCATAATCGAAGCAAAGGATGAAGAGGACGATGGCGACGTCGTCATGAACAGCACATCTACTGCACAACAATGGATCTACGACCCAGACAACCCAATGGTGTTCAAGCCTCGCACGGCTGTGCAAGCGACGAAGAAGGACCCCAGCAAGAAGATCAAAGAACGACCCAGCGCGTCTGAGCCCGAAACGAGATACCCATGGCTCGCGCATCAGATGGACGCTGACCGACACCCCGTCGACCATCCAGACTACGATCCTCGCACACTATACATTCCCCCGGGTGCCTGGGACAAGTTTTCTGCTTTTGAAAAGCAATATTGGGAGATCAAGAGCAAGTGGTGGGACACTGTCGTGTTCTTCAAGAAGGGCAAGTTCTATGAGCTCTATGAGAAGGATGCTTCTATAGGCCACCAACTCTTCGATCTCAAATTGACTGATCGGGTCAACATGAGGATGGTCGGTGTACCAGAGGCTTCCTTGGACATGTGGGCTACCCAGTTTGTAGCAGCAGGCCACAAGGTTGCTAGAGTTGACCAAATGGAGTCGGCTCTAGGCAAGGAGATGCGTGAGCGTGACGACAAGGGCAAGACACCTAAGAAGGGTGGCAAGGAAAACAAAGTGATCCGAAGAGAGCTGGCTACAGTACTCACTTCGGGTACGCTTGTGGATACCGGCATGCTTCAGAGTGAGATGTCGACATACTGCATGGCCATTAAGGAGATCGACCGCGACAACCTGCCAGCCTTTGGAATTGCCTTTGTCGATACTGCTACTGCACAGTTTCAGCTTTGCGAGTTCACTGACGATGTCGATATGACCAAGTTCGAAACCCTCATTGCCCAGATGAGGCCCGGTGAGCTACTCCTGGAGAAGTCATGTGTGTCTGCGAAAGCTCTGCGGATACTCAAGAACAACACGCCACCCACAACTATCTGGAACTACTTGAAGCCCAACAAGGAGTTCTGGCCAGCAGACATCACCATCCGAGAGATTGAAGCGAACAACTACTTTGAGTCACCCACAGAAGACAACATCGAGGCATGGCCACCGGTCCTCCGTGAAGCCAGAGAGCAGGAGCTGATCATGTCGTCATTTGGTGCTCTTCTTCAATACCTGCGCACGCTGATGATTGAGCGCGATCTGGTCACACTCGGAAACTTCCAGTGGTACGACCCCATCCGGAAAGCCACGAGTTTGGTTCTCGACGGTCAGAGCTTGATCAACCTGGAGATCTTCGCGAACACTTTCGATGGATCAGCCGAGGGTACTCTGTTCGCTATGCTGAACCGTTGCATCACCCCATTCGGCAAGCGATTACTGCGACAGTGGGTCTGTCATCCTCTCGCAGACGCAACCAAGATCAACGCTCGCCTAGATGCTGTTGATGCACTGAATGCAGATTCTACCATCATGGACAATTTCAGTGCGTCCCTTAGCAAGTTGCCAGATCTCGAGCGTCTCATTTCTCGCGTACATGCAGGCCGATGCAGAGCGCAAGACTTCCTCAAGGTGCTGGAGGGTTTCGAGCAGATTGAGTATACCATTAGCCTGTTGAAGCAGTTCAGCGAGGGTGAAGGCATCATTGGTCAACTTATTTCTTCTATGCCTGACCTGGCTGCGTCTCTATCTAAATGGAGTTCAGCCTTCGATCGAGACATCGCACGGAAAGAAGGACTACTCATTCCTGAGCCTGGCATCGAAGAAGACTTTGACAACAGCCAGGAGGAGATCGATACCTGCAAAGCAAACCTCGATGTACTGTTGAAGAAGGCCCGCAAAGAGCTCGGCTCTAATGCTGTTCAATACAACGACATTGGCAAGGAGATCTACCAACTAGAGGTACCCAAGAAGGTCAAAGTTCCCAACAACTGGGATCAAATGTCGGCTACAGCCAAGGTCACTCGCTACTACACTCCCGAACTGAGGAAGCTGGTGCGAGCACTACAAGAAGCGCAAGAGACGCATGGTCAGATTACACGCGAAGTTGCCACTCGCTTCTGCCAACGCTTCGATGAGGATTACAAGGTCTGGCTCGCGGCAGTCAAGATCATCGCTCAACTGGATTGCCTGATCAGTCTCGCAAAGGCGTCTGCTTCACTCGGAGAGCCCAGCTGTCGTCCAGTGTTCGAGGAGGGTAACCGAACTGTCGTTGAGCTAGAAGAGCTTCGTCACCCATGCATGCTCAACACAGTCGACGACTTCATTCCCAACGACATCAGACTAGGCGGCGACTCTGCCAACATCAGTCTACTGACTGGTGCTAACGCGGCCGGTAAATCGACTATCCTTCGTATGACTTGCATAGCGGTCATCCTCGCACAAGTCGGTTGTTACCTTCCCTGCACATCGGCCAGACTCACACCCGTCGACCGCATCATGTCCCGCCTCGGAGCCAACGACAACATCTTCGCAGCCCAATCCACCTTCTTTGTCGAGCTGTCAGAAACACAGAAGATACTTTCGGAAGCGACTCCTCGGTCTCTTGTTATTCTCGACGAGCTCGGTCGCGGTACATCCTCTTACGACGGTGTGGCCGTTGCGCAAGCCGTTCTGCACGACATCAGCACACGCGTGGGCTGCGTTGGGTTCTTCGCCACTCACTACCGTTCTCTAGCTAAGGAGTTCGAGTTCCACCCTGAAGTCGTGAACAAGCGTATGCGTATCCATGTGGATGATGCTTCCAAGTCCATCACTTTCCTCTACAAGCTTGAGGAGGGTGTCGCCGAAGGTAGTTTCGGTATGCACTGCGCGGCCATGTGCGGTATCCCGAGTAAAGTCATTGAGAACGCAGAGAAGGCGGCTAGAGAGTGGGAGCACACGAGTAGGCTGGGAGAGAGGATGGAAGTCAACAAGGACGAGGGTGGCGTGTACGTCCCGCTGGGCCTGCAAAGTGATGTTGCTTGGACCCTCAGGGAAGGCTTGGAGGGAGTCGGTGATCGGGCGCTTGATGTGCTGCTCGAAGCCATCTCTGCGCTCTGAGTGCCTGCTATGTGAGAAAAGCATGTAAGATAGATGTATCGAAGGCGCAACATGGGCGATCGGGAATGGGATGTATTCATATGGGAAAGAGGGATCGGATCTAAGTCAGGCTAGCGTTCTGCTGTAATCATACCTAGGTATCCCGTAGTTAGCGTATCGCAAGCCAGTTCACACATTTAGAACATCCAGCCAGGCTACGACATTGCCGCCAAACTCGCCAAACGACTTAGCCTCATGGTAGCGTGGAGGTAGTCAATATATCCCACGATGTCACATTTTCCACGGTAGAGCACGTGAAGTACACCAGGCACATATGAAATTTGATGAGATGACCACAATCACTACGATGTAGCCGTCCGCCCATACCATGAACTCGCCATAAAGTCCCTACTTTTCCAGCATTCCAGCCGAGTACGCACGCAAACGCCACACTTTTTTCGCATCCCAACGCCCACATACCCACCAACTTCCTACTCATCATCCTCCAACTGTACCGTACGGTGCCCGTTAGACGCGTTCCGACTCGATCCCTTAGCAGCACCACCAAAGGTCTCAATGCCATCGAGGAAACCGTAGCTCATGGCATCGCGACTGGGGACATCTTCCTCAACGAGATCGAAGCCGTCGTCAAAGGCAGGCTCTTCCTTCTTGACCTTGGGACCGTTGAGGCCGAAGTCATCGTCATCGTCGTCGTCGTCGTTGGCGGAGGCCTCGTTGGAGGAAGTGGGCTGGCGGGCGGTACGGCGCTTGGAGGCAGAGGCGGGAGCAGCGGCGGTGGCGCCACGCTTCTTGGGTGTGGATGTAGCAGTAGTAGCTCTGGCACGGCCGCCGGAACGTGACTTTGCTGGGGGACTGTCCTCGGAGGCACCGGCGGCCATGTTCTTGAGCTTGCGTTTGATGTTGCCGAAGGTGACTGAGGCGCTGCCTGGGGTGTAGCCTGTGAGGGCGGCCAACTTGACCATGTCAACCTGGGAGGGTTAGTTAGTGCTTGGGTTGGATGGAAAGGATGCAATTCATACCTTAGGCTGTGGATCGACGCACTGCCATGCGAGGGCGAGGACCTCGATCTCGCGGGCGGACAGGCTCTCTTTGGGCATGATGGTGTTGATGTGGATGTAGATGAGTTGGTGTTGGAGGTTGTAGATGTTGTAGTACGGACTGGTACTGGTGTGTTGATGAAAGAGTGGTGGAAGAGTGAAGAGGAGAGAAGGATGAAGGCGAGGGGATACGGGCCTTATATGCTGAGCAACAGCAGTGAGCAGGCTGCTCTAAAGAGGTGCAAATTTTACTTTTGTGTGACTCTTTGTAGTTGTGGTGAGAGGTGATAAGGAAAGGCAAAGAGGCACTAAAGAGACAGCTTCACCTCGCTTTTAGTGGCCTAGTAGATTACTGTGTGGCAGCATATGGTGCAAGTGAGTTTGGCTTGACAAGGATACTACGTGTCTAGGCAGCCGCATCTATGGGTACGATGCATTTTGCCCCCGGTGGACGTCGATTGGTATCTTTAAGTTCCTGAAAAGCTTGGCGTGGTTCACGACGAGACCTTTTTGGTTATGGTATCGAAAGTCACGCTCGGTTACCATAGGATATTGCGCATATCTTCCGGTCTATTCTCGAGTCGATTGAAGATGACAAGGCATAGGCCAACGTACGAAGAAGCTATATCCTACGTACTTCTTTACCCAGTAATTCGGGCCTCTCCACGTCCAGCTCATCCCTCAACGCTGCGTATAGCGAATCTCCTAGAATGATGGACAGTCCCAAACTCCAGACCAGCGTGATGGCATAAAAGAAGTTGGCGTTTCCCGAACCTGCGTAGATCCAAAGATGGTAGAAGGCAGGGCCCAAGAACGATGTGTATAAGATAGCGGATGATGCCAAGAACGTGTAGCGCATGACTAGAGTACTGTTAGTGTTGTTATATGAGTTTGAAAAAAGGGACACTCACGAGGGAATAGATGACGGAACATGGGTACCAAAGAAAGGTAGAGCGCAGCATCCGCTATGCTCGGGTATGGCGTGAAAATGGCGAACACGCCGGTCAAGCTGCAAGCAACGAACAATGGCTGCTTGTGAAGGCGAATGGTAAGGCCTGGCATATACGACGCCGCGTGTAGCCAGAATACGCCCAGGAAAAACTCTCGGAAAGAGTCAAACATCTCGATGAAGAAGTACCACCAAAGTCCAACATTCGGCGTGAGGTCAGGTAATAGAAGGCGCACACCGTATGTCGCCGACAGGAAGTCCCACGAGCCCATAAAGAACGCAGAGCCAGTGAGCAAGATGCCTATTGCGCCTGCGATGCCAAGAGTATGGGTTATGACGAAGGATGCGACATCCGGCGCGGCGTTCTTCTTCAAAGTCTTCGCATCGTAGAGAAGGACCATGAGCGGAGGGAAAAGAAGTATCGGGTGCATGGCAAAGTACGATGCGAAAGCCGTGGCTAGTATGAAGGTGAAGCTGGCCCCTTGGGACGCCTTGGCCATGGCCGTAAGGATGAAGAGGTTGGTGAGGGCCGAGGTGGAGCGCGCGACGCAGGTCAGAACTGTGAAGGGATTGAACAGGAAGCTGGAAGATGTTAGCAGGTGTTGTATAGAGAGGTGTAGTATTCCTACCCTGCTGCAATAGCCACACTACTCCATCTCAGGTCCTTCCGCGGGGAAGCAAACAGGCGCGTGACTGACGCGAAGCCGCTCTCTGCCACTTGCGCCAAGGCATTCGCGCTTAATAAATCCACGATGGTATAGAAGATGTTGGTCGCCAGCGGGGCATGGGCCGGGTTGGGGAAGAGGGAGAAGAGCGGCAGCAGGAGGGGTGCCTGGTGGTATACGCCGCCGTCGTAGGGAGAGACATTGTGAGTGTAGAGGAAGACGCCCTCTTGCACTGGTAGGTGTTAGTAGTGTTATACACAGACCATACCAGGTACATACATCTCTTGAAGCCATTCACTGGTGTTGACACCTCGACACGTCCGGCGAGGAGGTCTGGCAGGGCGGGAAAGACAGTGAAGAGGACCAGGCGCACGGCGGCGGCGGCTGCAAAGAGCAGCATCTTGTGCTGCGTGTCAATGGCCATGGTGACTATGCGCTATGCACTCATTGGCTCCATGGCGGTTCTCGACACCTCGGCGCTGGAGTTCTGGCAAGATGCATGTCGGTGGACCCTGGTCGCGCTAACGCCGGATCCATGTCCGCTAGTTGGCCGCATCTCTAACTTTTTTGCGCCCGCCAAAAGTTCAATCGTCTGCACCGACAGAATCGCGATTTGACACTTTCTCTACAATGGCTGGTCGCTCAAAAAAGAAGGGTACGCATCGCCGTCAATTATCGAGAGGAATTTCTTGCTCACCCGTTTACAGGCACCTCCGGTGCGGCCAAGAACTACATCACCCGCACGCGCGCCGTGAAGAAGCTTCAGATCTCGCTCCCCGACTTCAGACGACTATGTATCTTCAAGGGAATCTACCCCCGTGAGCCGCGCAACAAGAAGAAGGTCTCGAGGGGCTCGACTGCCGGCACCACCTTCTACTACACCAAGGATATCCAGTACCTGCTCCACGAGCCGCTGCTGGCCAAGTTCCGCGAGCACAAGGCTGTCGCAAAGAAGATCGGTCGCGCCCTCGGTCGCGGCGAGTCTGGCGATGCATCGCGCCTCGAGAAGAACCTCATGCCCAAGGTCAAGCTCGACCACATCATCAAGGAGCGCTACCCTACCTTCGTCGACGCCCTGCGCGACCTAGACGATGCCCTCTCCATGCTGTTCCTCTTCGCCAACCTCCCCTCGAGCGACCACGTCCCCGCCAAGACCATCGCCCTCTGCCAGCGACTGACCCGCGAGTTCGAGCACTACGTAATCACCTCCCACGCCCTCCGCAAGTCCTTCCTCTCCATCAAGGGTATCTACTACCAGGCGACAATCCAAGGTCAGGACATTCTCTGGCTGGTACCATACAGGTTTGTTCAGCGAACAGGCGGCGACATCGATTTCAGGATCATGGGCACTTTCGTCGAGTTCTACACGACCCTCCTCGGCTTCGTCAACTACCGCCTCTACACTTCGGTCGGCCTGGTATACCCTCCCAAGTTCAACGCAAAGAGCGACGAGCAGGGTGGTGAGCTTGCTGCATTCCAGCTTGAGGGCAAGGCCACCGCTACGAACGACGCAAACGGCCACGACGAGAATGGTGCGGTTAACCCCGAGGCACAGGCGATTGCGGACAGGCTTGCAGCTATGCCCGATGCTGAAGAAGAGGAGAGCACTACTGCCGTGGCCAAGGTTGTCACCGAGGACGACGAAGAGGAGGCCAACGACGAGATCGACAAGTTCGAGCCTACTGCGCCCGACGCCGATATCCTGCCCCAGCCTCAAGCAAGCAGCGCCGAAATCGCATCCTTGTTCGCGCCCTTCACCTTCTACCTAGCACGAGAGACACCCAGAGCATCGCTCGAGTTCATTCTGAAGGCATTCGGCTGCAAGAGAGTGGGTTGGGACGGAACGCTAGGCGATGGCGCTTTCACAACCAACGAGTCGGACCCGAACATCACACATCAGATCGTCGATCGACCTGCGCTTTCCAACGGTGCTCCTGCACAGGAAGACGGTGCTGCTGCCCCCAAGGCCCAATGGCCATATTCTATGATGCCTGGACGCACCTATGTCCAGCCACAATGGGTTTGGGACAGCATAAACCAGGGCAAGCTGTTGCGACCAGACCACTACGCCCCTGGCGCAGATCTGCCGCCCCATCTCAGCCCTTGGGTCAAGCCAAAGAAGGGCGAATACGACCCCAACCTGCCTCTCGCGGCACAACAACCAGAGGGCGAGGCTGAGGCGTTTGAGGACGATGACGAGGAGGCCGCTTTCGACGTTGATGGAGACGAAGACATGGACGCCATCGTTGACCGTGAAGGCTCCGTGGAAGTTGGCGAGGGCATGGATGTCGCTGACGACTCTGAAGACGACAGCGATGACGACGAATCAGATGAAGCGGGCGCGGGTGGTGAGGAGTTCGACGGCTTTGACTCCGATGCCGAGTCGGACATCTCAGAAGGAGAGGCCGCCCGTCTTCAGCACCAGCGTGAACTCGAAGCTGAGGCTACTGGCAAGAAGCTTGAGGTCAAGAAGCCGACCAAGAAAGAAGAGAACGCTGTCATCCGCAAGAAGGCAGAGAAGAAGAAGCGCGCTGAAGAGGAGGAGCGCGAGAGGCAAAAGATGATGTTGTCTAACAAGAAGCGCAAGCTGCTCAAGCGTATCGAATACGGCGAGAACAAGCGCGAAAATGAGTCTGAGAACCTACGCAGAAAGCGTGCGAAGGTTGAGAAGGCCAAGGCTGCTGCTGAGGCCCTGTAGGTTCGAGTATGTGTATATGATGCATCAAAAGCTTAGGCCGGCGTTCTTTGGGCAGGAGTTTGGCGCGCTTAACGAACCTCTATATGCTGCATGTAGTAAATCGATACCTTTTCTGGCTCTACATCATAGCCGTCGCTGTTGCACACTCTCCCCAACGAATCTGCATGTGATCGCTAGTTGGGACGCACGGACTGGGGCTGTCAGATGCGTGGCGCAGCCATCTCTGACCCAAAGAACATGATGAACACTCGATGACTCAACCAGAGGATATATGAACCATGGCTGCACCCATATTGCACTTGGTCTCTAACGTTCAAATGCAAGCCCATACGATCAATACATGCCCAATCCACAGCATGTAGCCACGCCCACTAGTCCGCGAATATTGACAATGGTAGACCAGGGCCGCGATCCAAACTCGACCATAGTTGACATCGCAACAACGACAATGCTCAACCTGGACAACATGACTTAAGATATCTCTGCTTTCCTGCGCGTCAGGTTACTTTTCATCACCATATGTCGACACCACAATAACCCCCTCTTTCGACTCTTCCCACAAAGACGTCGCAAGAGCACGCAACACGCCGCAGATCAACTCGAACACAAAGAAGTAAGATGAAACGATGAATCGATAACAAGACCCGCCGTCGTTCTCGATCTGCTCCACGGACAAAAACCTAGATCCACCATCGTCGCCGCTACCTAAAAGCGCAAAGTGCCGAGCCGCTGCCGAATAGCACCACCT